ATTGTGAAAAACAAGTATAAATTCTGCAGTATGCTGAAAAGAAGCACAGAAATGCATACAGAACCTTAATTGCTTGTGTTATTTAAAAAATATTTACTTATCATTTAAAATGTTGGCTTGGTGACAGTTTCACATCATTGGGCAAGAGGACCAGCCAGCTTCCGTGGAAATTGCCTATATCACCTAATGGGCTAAAGTCAATCCAAAAAATCACTATGTATTTATTTATTCCTCCGATTTTGACTATGCCTACAGAACACGTATCTTTGAGCCACTAAGTGAGCAAACTCAAGCAGGATTGCCGGATCACTCGTATTCGTTATACTACACTCAAAACCTGGTCCATCGCTTGTAGTGCAGAAGAGGTCGTCATAGTGACAGGTCTCTGAAAAGTATACTTTGCCAGATATTTAAATCAATCTAATCGCGCTTAAAGTCGTTTCAATGTGATAAGAGTTCTAGTTTCCTTGGGTCGCACAAGTTGATAGAGGAATGTTATTTGTAATTTTTCATAGTGAGCTACGAGTAGGCATGACGATGCAATATAATTCCAATTATACTGGCGTACCTTTCATTTCGTTTGAAAAGGCAAGTCGAAGGGATTCGTAGATTGGCCTCACCGGATACCGCAGAAGGGTTGCCTTGACCTTTTGTCTGTTGAATTGTGCGAAGAAGACCTTGATTCACCGTCTTACAACCCCGATGACTCCGTGCTGAGCTTTCGTCCGTCCTGTGACGGACATCGTCAGATACAGAAAGGATTATTCACGAAAAATCACCAAAAACCACTAAGCCGAGAGAGGTTGCCAGCTGAGACCCTACTTGCTTCTTATACCTCACTTTGCGATCTTAATGAGGCATTCCATGATTTTGTTGTCTGACATATGCTAGTCCTACATGCAGGGTAACTTATTCTCTATTTCTAACTCCATAGTGAATTTAGTCGCCTTATCTACTCTATCTATTAAACCAAGCCTACTCATCTTATCCTGAGAAACCTAAACTATCAGATTGAAGATATGAAGACCAAGATGTTGTGGCCTCGGGTATGGTCGCAGTCTCCTTTCGACATATAGAAGTGGGTTGACCTCGTTGTCGCAACTTGGTCTTATG